ACAGTTGCTGTTTGACAACCGCTTGATAATTCTGACAAGTCCCTGGGTGGTGCAGATTGTTAACCGAAAGGTTGGAGGTTCGAGTTCATGCAGTGGCGGGTACCTCAGAAGAAAGGCCTGACGATTCTAATCCTCAACTTCTAGAAACCCAGCCCTTGAAAACCCAGTGGAGGGAGCACTGTCCCACTGTGACACACATGAGCTCGTCACGGGTCGGGTTAGACTTGACAACACCTGTGTTGTTTTGTTCTGGACTCTTCTGAGGGCAGGAAAGCCCATCCGCACTGTCCCCAGTCACCGCCTAGAGCTTTCTGGAGCCCCCAACTCCTTCTCTCTACCTCCTTCCCTGTCAACTCTGCCTTCTTTACCATCATCTTTCTCTTCTGTCAAAACCACCCCTCAAAACTGTACCTTCTTCTCTCTCTTTTCTGACTTTTCTTTGTCTCTCTTATTTTTCTCTTCCCTTGTGTCTCTGTCTCTGTTTCCATTTGCTTTTTCCTTCTTTTCTCTCACCCTCTCCTCCTGTTCTCCCACAACTCCCATTGTCCCTTTCTGTTTATTCCATTTTTCCTTTTCTTTCCGCCCCTCCTCCCCCCCGCTGGTGAGGTGGGACAACTACGTTCTTAAAGTGATGTGATTGTTGGGTTGGACTTGGGTTCCCTCTCACTAGAAGTGGCTCCCCTAGGCTGACCACGCTCACACACACAGGGTAGGACTTTTATCTGCTCATCTCCTGGATGGGTCCCCAGCCTGGGAGGTGAAGGAAAAGTTGTCCAGAGGAGGCGAAGGCTTGCCCTAGGCCACACAGCTGACTAGACAGGGCTTACCGCCAGCTCCCAGTGGGGGTTAAGAAATCTATTTTAGTTCCAGGTATGAGACTGACAGGGGCCAAGTGTTGCACGTGATCAGATATTACGTACAATCTTCAAAGGAAAAGAGATCAAGCTGCTTCAGAGCTCACACTTCCTGCCTGGGGTCACAGAGTCCTAGGCCTGGCTTTCCCCAGGGAAGCCCAACGCCCACCAGCCAAGTGTGGAAAGACTCTCTGGAGCTGTGGGGGTAGGGGTGAGCTCCAACTTCTGCAGATACAGCCTTTTTCAGACCTCATCTGGTTGGTGAGGTAGAGAGTCATTGAGTGCCAAGGCCAGCCCACATCCTGACTCAGCCTGGGGAACAGCGTCCCCACGTCAGGAGGTGGCTCTGAGAAGGAAGAACCCCGGGGGTCCTTTGGTTATGATGTTGTTGTTGTTGTTGTTAAGTGCCGTCGAGTCGGGTCCGACCCATAGCGACCCTGTACAGGGTTTCCAAGGGTGTAAATCTGTACGGGAGTAGAAAGCCTTATCTTTCTCCCGCGGAGCGGCTGGTAGTTTCGAACTGCTGACCTTAAGGTTCGCAGCCCGATTCGTAACCACTACGCTACCAGAGAGGAACAGAAAAGCCCAATGAGGAGACTCCCAGCCCAGCAGAGCTGAGGTGATTGAAATAAGGACTTTGATGCTTCCCCTGGCAATGTTTCAGGTCAGAGGCTCCTTCTTGTCTGGGGCCTCACACTCAACTCAGTGTAAGGCGTAAGTTATTCCGAAACTGTGGCTGAGCTCAAAAAAGACGTGAGGTTTGGTCCCGACTTGAAAAGAGGAACTGAGGTTAAAATAAGCAAGGATTAGGGTCTCTGACCTTGTCTAACTGTGTGTGATCTAATTTGTGCCTCAGTAGACATCTGGCGTCCTGGTATGGTGCTGTAGGAAAGGCCGGCAGTTCAAACCCACCAGCCGTTTCTCAGAAACTCTTTGAGTAGGAACTGGCTTGATGGCATTTAACAATGGACATCTGCTGACCAAACCCAAACTAAACCTGTTGCAGTCGAGTCGGTTCTGACTCATAGGGTCCCTCTAGGGCCGAGTAGAACTGCCCTGGAAGATTTACAAGGCTGTCGTCTTGAAGAAAGCAGACTGCTACATCTTTTATCTGTGAGAGAAATGTGTTCGAAGCGCAGACCTTTTGGTTAGCAGCCCAGTGTTTTAAGCACTGCTCCACCAGGGTTCCTCAGTAGACATCTATCCATGTTTATTTTAGTAAGGTGTTGTATTTTTCATAAGAGTCCCTGGGTGGTGCCAGTGGTTAACATGCTCACCTACTGACTGAAGGGTTGGTACTACGTAAGAAAGTCCTGGCAATCTTCTTGTGAAAAGTCAGTCATTGAAAACCCTACGGAGCATAGTTCTGCTTTGACACCCATGGGGTCACCACGAGTCGGAATCCACTAAACCATCAATTGGTTTGATTTTTTGTATTTTTCTAGAAGAAGTATCCTCAAAGGTGCTAACTTCCTCAGACTACTAGGGTTGATGGCCACCTGGTTACCTGCCGAGGGAGACAACAGACTCTCCAAGAGAACACACTTACCTGCCAGGGCACACCTCTTCATTGGGAAATGGCCTGCCTGTCACCTTTGCTGTTACATTTGGTGACCATGTTCAGTCTCTGTGACTCAAGCCTCATCATTGAATAGACAGAGGTGGCCCCTACTCCAGAGATGTCCCATTCCTACCCAGGCCACGGTCCCTGAATGCCGTGTGGAGAAATCCGTTATCAGTTAAGTTAATCAGGCTCTTCTTGGGGATAGGGACACAAAAGTGAGTAGGGGGAGATGTCAGCCCCACAGAGAAGAACTGAGGCACAGGAGTCTGGGGAAGCACAGAGGGTCCTCAAACTGTCCCCTCCTTCCTGGATGCAGGTATCTCTAAGAAGTCAGCCCACTTACACGAACTAGCCAAAACGAGTCCTAGCAAACCCCCAAACCAGGTGAGGCTCCGAATTTGGAAGCTGCCAGAGGAACCCAGAACACCACAACAACCACAGTGTCAAGATTGATGTGAGCACACTGAGGCACGCTCTCTCTGCCTTCAAGTGCGGAGTACAACACTGACTATATATAACAAGTCCTGCCCACTTTAGGGCCGAGTCAAACTAAAAGTGTTCTTTCCTTTGAAGGAATAGAAGAAACCACAAGGGGGAGAGAAAAAAAAGATCAAAAACTTTTCATCAAGTTCTAACTTGTGAGAACTTAGACTCCTTCGAGCACACCATCTTTCATGGTCAAGTTCACGGAGCCCCAGACTTGGAAACTCGTGTTGTGGCCATCAAGGCCAACTGCTTGTCCCAACCTGTCCTCCCCTCAGCTGCTGCGTCCCCAATAGAAGAAAATCAGAGATCTGAATGAATGATCTTATTATAGGCGTACCAACATCCATTTCCCAGGCTGATACATGTGGGCATCCAAGACCAGCCACCGACCTTCAAACTGATCCTCTTTATGTATTGGTCCTGGGTGCACACGTGGGAAGATGCAGACACAGAGCCGTGCTTGGCCTGAGATTTATCAAGCACAGTGATTCCGCTCCAGCCCATACTTGCATCTCCCACTGGGACCCAGCAACAAACAAGCTGAGAAGGCAACTTTGTGACCACCTGGGTTGGGTTGAACATGTCCCTCCCTGGGAGTCTCATTCCCCATCTCAAAGGTTTCCTTTGATTCCCATAAATAGTCTTCCTGAAAGGCATTTAGCTAAACAGCTTCCCCTTCTTGAAACATTTCTGGGGATGAGCGCCTATGGTCCCGCCCTGGGGTCCAACTCTGCTTGTACTGTTGCATGTTCTCTGGATCCAGACTGAAGGGGCCATTCCCTTCAACTCAGAGAAGCTAGTGACCGTATATGATGGCTCAAACAGTCTGCAATTGGCGGCTAACTTAAAAGTTGGCAGTTTGAATCCACCCAGCTGTGTCTTAGCAGATAGGTGGAACCATCTGTTTCTGTAAGACGGTAGATGAGAAAAGTCTATGGGACAGTTCTACTTTGTATGATACAGATTCTCACAAGTCCTAAACGAATGGAAGACAGCAGGTCTGGATTGTTGGCATTTTCTGTTTTGGGATCATGTTCCTACTTCTCCCAAACTTCTACTTTCTTTCAATGCATCCAACATCCTTGTCCATCCAGACAGCCTTCACTGTGACCCCAACCCACCACATACACACCTCCTTTGTTCCTCCCACCCTCTTGTTTTCGTCTTGTGTCATTGTTGTTAAGTGCTGTCGAGTCGGTTCGGACTCATAGCAACTCTGTATAGGGTTTCCAAGGAGTGGCTGGTGAGTTTGAACAGCCAAACTTGTGGTACAATGTAGCCAGATAAAAATCGCTTCCTTGACCTCCACATCCTCAGGGTATCACACATGGTGGTCAAACAAAGCCCTGGGTATCTGTCACATGGACAGCAATTTAGGATGATCTGCGGCTTGATTTTCTCTTTTTAAAACTCAACTGCACGTTTACACATGTACTGTCTGCCTGGTGAAATCAGAGCCCTACACATGGGAAGGCACGGTCTCATTCTAATGGCCTCTGGATGGCACAAATAGTTTGCCATCAGCTGCTAACTTTAAGGTTGGCAGTTTGAACCCATCCAGAAGCACTGTGGAAGAAAAGACTGCTAATCTGCTTTCATAAACAGTCAAGAAGTCTCAAGAAAACAGAAGGGCCGCTATGAGTCATTGGAATAATCGCGGTGGCTACAGGTTCGGTTTTAGTCTTGGTCTCATTCTAATCCTCTTGGCAATCTTCTAGACAACAGAATATACTGCCTGTACCCCTGCAAGTTCACCTCCTCTTTCCCCTTTGACCACGGAAATCTCATCATTTGAGAAGTCCACAGAAAATCAGTGGCCAAGTTCATCTTTCTTTACCATCATGCCCCATGACACCTGCAGAATGTCTTGTCATTGCTGGTACCTCATGTCAGAGAGCAGGGTCACTATGGAGGGTCAGAGCTTCTTCACTAAGACAACTCACATCCCATAAACTTCTAGATGATAGATAAATTCACCAGTCCTTAATGTCTAGGCTGCCTGGGATATCTTTTCTCTTCTTCCTCTTTTTCACTTTCTTTGCCAATACAAGTCCAAGTCAGTCTCACATTTCTATGTCTATGTACAAAGGACATACCTGAACCGTGAATTTATCATCTTCATTGGGCAGAATTCTGTAAGTGTAGACGCAGTTTCGAAACCTGGAACAGATCAGAGACTTCATTAGTACCTATGTAGGAAGGTTCATTTTTCTCGTAACTGAGAAGACTTGTTGACTTCACTAAAGTAACTTGAACAGGAAGTATCTGCGTCTTGGAGCTGACCCTTCTCTGAGATGGAGATCAGCTATGATGTTAACCAGTCCTGGACCTTTCAGTAGTCAAGGAACTTCAGGAAAAGTCCAATGGGGCCATTTGGAAGTGGACATGTGGCCTACACCCGGGTTTGACAGGTATTTCCTTCATCTTGGAGGGCTTGTTCAACCTCTCAACGGTCATGCTGGCCAGAAGAACAGGAGCAGGAGGGAGCATTTCAAGAGGAGACAAGTAGATTGGGGCTGAGCAGAGTGCGTGGTACTAAACAGGGATCTGACACAGAAATGGATGCTCAGCTTTGGTTGGACATGTCCCTCCCACTGACCACCTCCTACTCCCAGGCCTGGCTGCCTTGGAGACTTTGCCCATATGTTCATTCTCCTGAAGGTTGACCACTGCCCTGTTAGGAACCTAGATTCCCCCAGCAATGGGTGCGTGGACTCCAGACTTGCTTCTAACAAGGAAGTGTGATACTGAATAGACCTTGACTCATGACAACCGTGTAGGAGAGAGTAGAACTGCTATCCAGCTTTTCCGACACTGTAAAGCTTTACAGTAGTAAACAGCCTCATTTTTCTTCCAAAGAGGAACTGGGGATTTGAACTCCTGTCCTTGCGGCTAACAGCCCAACACTTAACCCACTATGACATTAGGGCTGTCTCTCTGGTTCAGAGGTCTCCAGTGTGAGAAGGTGGAGCTACTATTAAAAACAAAATAGATTTTATTTTTTTGAGAGCAGTTTTAAGTTTACAGGAAAATTGTGCACACAGCTTCCTCTATTATTAACATTACACCTTCGGGTGACACATTTGTTACAAATGGTGACCCAACATAGATATGTTGTTACTAACTCAAGTCCATAGCTTACATCAGGGTCCACTGTTGGACTCAAGCAGCTGATGGTTGGTTTTTTGTTTTCACTTTTTATTGTGAATTGAGTGAAGGTTTACAGAGCAGATCATCAGTGTTACATTCAACACATCACAGACTTTGTTTCTTTGTTGTTGTTTGTTGATGTTAAGTGCCGTAGAGTCGATTCTGACCCATAGCGACCCTGTAGAGAGTTTCGGAGGAGCAGCTGGTGAGCTTGGACCACCGACCTTGCAGTTCAAACTACTTAGCAGTCTGACGCATTAGCTCACAGCACCACACCAGGACATGGTTGCAATCCTCTTGGTGCACCAACAGTTAACAATATTGATCTCTATTCACTCCAACCACTGCGTTCTTCCCTGCATCTACCGACACCCCCATCTTTCCTCTGTCAACCTCCCTCTGGTTTTATATTACCTATTTCGTCACCCATGTCAACGCGTGTCTACCCTCTAGCACATGTAAGCTGATGGGTTTTGGCAAAGGTGTCAGATCATGTGTTAACCATTACAGAGTCATACAGAATTGTTTCACTGCCCTGAAAATAATAATACCCATTCTTCCCTCTCTTTGCCCCTCTGGCAACAACTGATTTCTTTTCATTGTCTGTAGAGTTTTGCCTTTTCAGAACGTCTTAAAGTTGGAATCATACAAGATACATCTTTTTTCAGATGGGTTTCGATGCATTTCAGGCCAGGAGCAGTTTTTTATCTTCCTAAAACCTCTGAAAGGAAGGATAGCTTTTACATTTGAGCACCTCGGAAGAGGGATGCATGCGTAGATAGTCACCCAGCCCACCAGGGGTTCCGGAAGTTCATCTGCTGGACTGTGGAGCCCAGCAGGAAAGCAAGACCTTGAGGGAATGCTTAGATGGGATCTAAAAGTCTTAAAGCTGCAAGTTTCTTCTCTTAACCACTGTTACTGGTGAATCACTCCCCCTCAGCCTGTACCAACTCACAGTGAACCCCTGTACAAAGGAACACACTGTTGTGACCCATCGTGTTTCCACTGGCTGCGTTTCAGAAGCAGATCACCAGGCATTTCTTCCTTGTCTGTCTTAGTCTGGATACTGCACAGAAACCAGTAAAGCATCCTGGTAAGACGCCAGCCTCCACTGACGAAACGCTGGTGGTGTAGTGCATGACGAGCACTGGCCCAGGTGAAAGAAGGGGACACTTCTGCTAAGGAATCATCATGCCCCGCCCTGAACTGCCATTGTTGTTGCTACGTGACTTGCCGTTGAGTAAATTCTGACTCATAGAGACCCTGGATGGGGTTTCCAAGGACCAGTTAGTGAGTTTGAACCACTGAACTTGCAATGAGTAGTCCAGTGCTTATCCTATAGTTGTTGTTGCTAATGCCGTCAAGTCGGTTCCGACCCATAGCAACCCTGTATAGGGTTTCCGAGGAGCAGCTGGTGAGCTTGAACTGCCGACCTTGCAGTTCAAACGGCTTTGCAGTCTGGCGCATTCACCCACAGCGCCACACCAGGACTCCTATAGTGCCATGCCAGAATTCCCCCCTTATTCCTCCTGCTTGGGTTTCCCATGAACTCCCTAAGGCTCAGCAGATTTTTGTTTTGTGTCTGAGATCAAGATATTGCTTCACTAAGAATTCCATTTATGGTGTAGCGCTATGGGTTAATGCGCCAGACTGCAAACCTGTTTGAACTGCAAGGTTGGCAATTCAAACTCACCAACTGCTCCTCGGAAACCCTATATAGGGTCACTACGGGTTGGAACCGACATGACAGCACTTAACAACAACAACAACATGTGCTAGGAACTTCATTGATCATTTACATATACTATTAACTGAATTGGAGATGCTCTGCTGATGCAGTGGTTAAGGCTGCTAACCAAAAGGTCAGAGGTTCAAACCCACCAGCCACTCTGATGTGGCAGTCTGTGTCTGTAAAGAGGACAGCCTTGGAATTCTTATGAGGTCATTCTGTTCTGTCCTACAGGGTCACTAGGAGCTGGCATCAAATTGATGGCAACGGGTTTACAAAATAAAAAATTTTAAATAATACATTAGTTTTTTAAAAGGTCATGTTGTACAGAACGGTATAAAATGAAAAGTAAATGTCTACTCCTTTTCTCTCCCATGTGTCCCACTTTCTAATGCTCAATAGTTGTTGTTATTTTGTAAATTATTTCAGAACATGTTTATATATGGCTATCTTTAAAAATGCAAAGAATAGCATGCTATGTACATTGTTTGGAAATTTGCTTTTTTCGCCAATAAATAAATAAACAACATCTTAGAAGTCTTCCCAAATAACCAATCACCAAAAAAAAAAACAAGCCCACTGCCAGTGAGTTAATTTCAACTCATAGTCAAGTGAGACTGCGAAGGCTCCTTCCTGCAGAACAAAGTAGAACTGTCCCATAGGATTTCCATCACTGTAAGCCTTTATGGAAACCAAATGTCCAATCTGTCTCCAGAAGAACTTCTGGTGGGTTCAAGCCACTGGTCTTTGGGTTAACAGCCAAGGGCTCTGTACCACCAGGCTCTGCTTTTTTTTTTTTTTAAATCAACCAAAAACAAAATGAAAGACAAAACTCACTGCCATTGAGGCAATTCTCATAGTGATCCTTCAGAGAGGGTTTACTACCATTCAAATTATATTCCATTATACAGATTTACAATCATTTATTTGACCAGACCCACAATGATTTGTTGATAGACAAGTGTTTATTTTCAGCTGTTTGCCATGATAAATAGCACTGCAATGAACATCTCTGTGCACAGGGGTGAATTCAGAGCCTCACTGGTAGAATGGGGAATTATGATAATATCATAACACCTACCGTTGTGGGGTGGATTGAATAAGTTAATATCGGAAGAGCATTTACAAAAGGCCTGTCTATGTTGTGCAATAAGGACTACACATGTTGGCATTTATGAGTGATTGTTGATAGGGATTGTGGGTCATTAGAAGGAGAACAGCTGGGCCGACTGTGTGGACATTTTACCATTTAATAAAGACTACCCACTGCTTTTCAACTGTGCTGTGGCATTTTTTCCACCACTAACCGGATATGACAATGTCAATTTCTCCACGCCCTGCCAACTGGCTGTTATCAGACTTCTTAATCTTTGCAAATCGTCTAGGTGAAAAAAAGAAAAACAGAAGAGGAGAATAGCTTGTTTTCAATTTGACTTTCTTTATGAGAAAGGCTGCAATTTTCTCACATGTACATTTGAGGAATTTGTAGTTTTCTCTGTGAATTCCTTTTATGTCATTTGCTCACTATACATATATGTATGTTAGTGTATATATGTGTGTGAATGGTTTTGTGTGTATGTATATGTGTATAAGGAGCTCTGGTAGCGCAGGGGTTACTAATTGGGCTGTGAACCACAAGGTCAACAGTTAGAAACTACCAGCTGCTCCGTGGGAGAAAGATGAGGCTTTCTGCTCCCGTAAAGATTTACAGCCTCGGAAACCCTGTTCAGGGTCGCTATGGGTCGGAACCGACTCGACAGCACTTAACAACAACATATGTGTATATGTGTGTTATTGTGTAGCTTTATGGGCATGTGTATGTTGTTGTTACTAAATGCCGGCTGCGACTCATAGCCAACCTGCATAGCGTTTCCAAGGAGTGGCTGGTACATTTGAACTGCCAACCTTGTGGTTACCCTACAGCACAACACCAGGACTCCATGTAAGTGTATCTGTATATGGAGATGTATATTATACACATATAGAGATCATGCATTTTCTATTATTTATTTGTAAGAATCTTTGATGTATATTGAGACACTTTTGTAGCTATTTTATTTTGATTGATTTTCTAAAAGCTGCAGGTTCTACAGTTTGATGTGGTCAAACACATCCACCACCATTTAGTTTACCCCTAGATGTTTGACTATGATGTTGGGGTATCTGGGAAGTAACTACAGGAGCTTTGCTTTTTCTTTCTCGCCCTTTGTTTCCTCCCTTTCTGCCCATCCCCTAGACTGTTCCCAGAGCCTGAAGGGACACCATAATTGGCCTGTATACA